TATATATATATATATATATATATATATATATATATATATGAGTGCTTGATTTCTTGAATAATCTCAATTTATGAAATTTTCTTTAGTTTTCATTAATTAAAGAAAGTCTCATCCTTAAAAAAAATTAACTATTAAAGATAATTTTTGTATTTATTAAATTCCTCTATTAATGTAGTAAAAAATGAATTAATATTTTCATTCCATTTTTCTTAGTTGAATTTTTTTATAATTAATCATAAAATAGATCCAACTTTGCAACAAATATTCAAAAAACACCCTTATTTTTTTGGAAAATAAACATTCATTTTTATTTTGATTAAAATATCATGCGTATAATGTAAAGAGATGCATTGAAGCAAGGACATTATAGCTCTAATGAACTTTGAGGTATTCCTATAGATTACCCTGCTTACCTTGAGAAATTATTAGGTGCGGAGTGCGGACGGGGTGAGAACCGTCCGCACAGATACAGAGTACCAAGCGGTACCCAATGATACCGAGTGGTACCGAACGGTACCGAGCGCGGTTTTATACTAGCGTGCGGACGGGAGAAGCGGACGGTTCTCCCGTCCGCACTCCGTACCTAATAATTTCTCGCTTACCTTAGCTAATTAGGTGACAGTAGATCGCTGTGAAAAGACATTCAAGAGATGGTTGATATGTAGGAGGCCTAAGGAGCTAGAAATTATTTTGAGAGATTACTGGACGATTTAGAAGTGAATCAAGATATATTATATCATTCGATACACAATACTGACATACAATATAAAAAAAATGATGTGACACCTAATTCGCCTGTAGGTGATTTCTCTCAAAAAAAAAAAACAGGTGGAATAGGAGATTAAAATAAAGGGGTTGGTGTTGACCTAGGTAGATGATTTGAACTCTCAACTAATCAATTCATAGAGGAAGATTAACTAAGAGGTCATTTAAAATAATTTTTTTATTTATTTATATTTTAATATGAAATGAAAAAATGATCAATATTTTTTTTTTGTTATTTTTTATTGAACAGTGAAGATAATAACAATCTTTATTGCAAGACAACAGTATGACTAACAGCAATGACAACCACCTAGCAACCTCTTAGACGTAGGGGTGTGAATATTTGACATGACACGAAAATCCGACCCGGACTCAGACCCGAAAAATCCGGGTTGGACCCGACCCGATTTTAAAACGAGTGTGATGATTTCATGCTTTGCACATGCTTCATTAACTGTCGTGAAGATGGAATTCAGTATGCCAGAAGCCACATACTACACTAATCTTCTCCTTCCTCTCCAGAACCTGCAACTACAATATATTGTTCAAGAAGGTGCAAATTCCTAAATTGCACCTAAACAAGTCAATGTGTCAATAAATCATATAACTAAACACCCACCAAATTTATTTCTCTATATAATGTAGTCCATAAAATATATGTAAGATCAAGCACAATATTACAATCCTTTCTCAACAATGCACATTACAAACAACAGAACATAGCATTCCCACCAACTAAATATGAATGTGCGCTGTGGAATACATGAAAGAAAAATCTCTAGTAGAACATAGTAAAATCCAGCGCCAGTTATTGCAAGGAAAAGAACTCTTAAGGCAAATGAGAAATCTTAATGGCTAACCAGTTCGAGAGTGTCAGTTTTCTCTTGCAGGCTGAGAAGCAGGTTGTCGAAGCTCTTTTTAAAAGAGTCGACACCCTCAAGCTCAAGCTGAGCCCCAACCTCGTTCCAGTCAATACCTAACTTCTCAAGCGCATTATAGACGCCTTCGGCCTCGGAAACATTGGCGTCGATGGTCCTCGAGACAGTTCCATGGTCGATGAAGGCTTGCAAGGCCTGATCGGGCATTGTCGACACCTAAAACCAGACAAAGTTTGAGAAGAAAATAAGAAATTATGCAAATTATAGTAGAGAAATGTGTGCGGATGAAGGCTTCGTTTGGAACGGCTTTCTTATTGCTTCTTAAAGCAACTTTTTAGTAAATTTTTATACTAAAAAAATATTTTAAGCAGCTTAAATGAAGCCAAAGTTACAAATATTAGCCTAGCATGCAAACTATTTATCAAATTATCAAGAATAGGGTCCTATATTTGCATTGGACTTTCTCTCGTTATCTTTTAGCATATCCTAATCATCTGCATATGTCATAGACTGAAAATAGGGTAAGTAATTCAAATTTAAGGACATTCTCAAAAGGTTGAGAACATATAGGCATCAATTCATTTAATTAGATATGAAAAAAAAATTGGCTCAATATATTCTGGTTAAATTTTTTATCAAGATGAATCTCAAAACTATTAAATTTTTGTTCTGAAAAAAGTAAAAAAAAAAATCAATTTATTCACACGTATTATACTCACTTCAAAGCAACTTCAACAACTTTAAGAATCATCCAAACTAAATTTTCCTATTAGTTAATTGGAAAAAAATTGGCTCATGATATTTAGATCAAATGAGTTTCAAAATCATTGGATTTCCTTAAGATGAGTGCAATAAGGCAATTGATTGATACATTGCATATTTTATGTATATACGTGAAAAGGTTGGGATAGCTTTAGTGATAGATCAGATTAGAGAGAGTCGTCCTAGATGGTTTTGTCACATAAAATTTTGACCTTCTGATGACCTAGTTAGAAGAGCAGACAAACTAGAACTAACATATGTTAAAAAAGTAGAGGCAAACCTAAAAAGATTGGTTAGAAAGTATTAGAAATTATCTTTATTTACTAGATCTAAATGAGAATTTGACTCTTACTAAGACACAATGGAGAAAAAATATTCATGTAGTCAACCCCACATAGTGAGATAAAGGCTTGATGTTGTTATTGTTTTATTTTTTTGCAAAGCCAATCCAGCTTTTAGACACATACAGACCAAAATTTGGTACCCAAAATCCTACAAAGTTATTTTTCCTTTATCTCACCATCTCATATAAAGCAAAAATATACTATTTTTATCATAATTATTTACTATTTTTATGTTGATCAAATGTAGTGGCTATGGCAAAAAAAAGTAGCATAAATAGTCAAATACTCACCGTGTCAGGGCCGATTAAAGGATCAACATAAAGTGTGTCAGGATATGCAGGGTTCTTGACACTTGTTGAGGCCCATAGCAGTCTCTGCTTCTTAGCACCTTTCTTAACTAAAGCATCCCAACGGGGTCCAGAAAATTTCTTCTGATAGAGCTTGTATGCCAGGGTTGCTTGAGCTACAGCTGCCTGCATAACATTTTCGAATAAACACATGAAATATTCAAACACAGAGAGATCCAGTGGCAAATTTTACCTTTCCTCGGAGATTAAGTGCTTCAGGTGTCCCAATCTTTTCAAGCAGTTTATCCACAAGAGTGTCAACACGGCTGACGAAGAAGGATGCCACACTAGTTACCCTAGATAAATCACTTAGCCCAGACGCCTCAAGACCATCCAAGTAAGCATCAATAACTGCCTCATATCTAGCAAGTGAGAATATCAGCTGTAGGAAAAAAAATACATCTTCATGAGAACTTCAGAACATTACAAGGTAAAACCCTATAAATATTAAACTAAGCACATAGGAACAGCAGCATCCATCAGAGGTGGTACTCATAAACCTCTCCAGAACAGAAATCTGTACTAAGAAATTCAAGATTTTCTTCTAGCCCAGTTGCGCAAGTTTGGAAATATTGACAGGCCCTGAAAGACGGTTTATAAGGCCATCTTTCATTACACGGGGAATAGAAGAGGAGCTTAGGAGGGGATTTGGAATAACTTGGCCACAAATTTAGCGTACAAAATAAAAGAACTTTAGATAAAAATTGGCTGTGGTAATATACTTTTGAAAATTGATTAATAGATAGATGAAAAGCATCATTGAAATAAAAACAGCAAGAAATATTTATCTACATAGAGGTGGATGAATAAAAGATACCACAAGAGTCAGATAAAAATAGCTACACTACTCAATGAGGAAATAGACTAAGGCTTCATTTGGGACGATTTTTTTACTGCTTCTTAAAGTAGCTTTTTAGTACAAACATTTTAATTTTTATACTAAAAAGCTGCTTTAAGAAGTAGTAAGAAAGACGTCTCAAATGAAACCTAAATGATTAGCATGCAGGTAGCGTAAGAGGACAAAAGAGCTTGACCATAGAAAACCCTTAAAAAGTTTTAAGAAAATAGTGTAATCTTGGCTTGAGATATTGGCAATACACCAACAAAAGCTAAAAAATGGCATTCTAACAGATCTAAACATCCCAAAAAATTACATTCTACCAGATCATAACATATAAATTTGACAGGAGAGCAAGTAAGAAATTTCATGTAAGAATTACCAACATAAATTTTCTCAAAGATGAGTTTTAAGGGGTGAAACTTAAAGTAATAGAAAGAACAATAAACAAGCATCCTTTAGCATGGAAACTGAACTGTAGATATATAGGTTGGAAAAGCATATTATTGTAAACATACCGTAACATTGACGCTTATACCGTTGGAAATTACTTCTTTGATAGAAGGAACACAATCTGCAGTAGCTGGAATCTTTATGTAAACATTGGGACGACTAACCGCTTTGTGCAACCATTTTGCAGCTTCAATGGTACCATCTGTATCATTAGCAAGTCTAGGAGAGACTTCAACTGAAACATAACCATCTCCTCCATCTGTTTGCTCATAAATAGATTCAAACAGTTTGCAAGCATCTTGAATGTCCTTTATGACAAGTTCCCAATAAGCACTTTCAATATCGTTTCCTGACGCAATGAGTTGCCTGAATGTCCAAGAAAGGAGAACTTAGAGTTTGTGTTAAAAAGCATAACAAAAGATCCACTGTTTCCCCAAGTCCCACTCCTGCCAAAGATCTAGAGAGGTATAATTTAAGCAGGCCGGATATGACCCAAAACAAATAACAATACAATATATTTCAGATCTTCAGAACTTAAATGAATTCTAACCACTAATCCCTCTCTTCATCACCTGCTACTGTTCTGAAGCTTTCAAGTGATATCATTCATTCTTCGCATAAATTCATAGCAAATCAGCAAAAACAAGTAAAAGAAGTAATCTACTAAAGCAAAACTAGAAATCCGAAAATGTCTTCCCTAAATAATTCAAACTCAAGTGACTAGAATAGATTGATTAAAAAAGGAATGTGAACCACCCTTAGGTACTAGTGGAACCTTCACTGCTGCTTATGTAGAAGCTTTAATCTGATGACTTTAATCCGACGGAACATCACTGAGGAAGAAGCTTTTCCTGGATCATTTCCATTTACATCATTCTTGCACCACAGCAAGATGGATACTTCTTTTTTTTTTTTTACTTTAAATCCAACCTTTCCACTAATATTAGATCCATGACACTTTCAGAATAACTAATCATACGCCTAAGAAAAATTGAATAAAAGCAGTTTTGATATGTCATTTCTTTCAAAGAGCCAAACGAACAAAATATATAGTATACAAAAAGACTAAATAATTTAAAACTGGGATAGCTTAGGAAAAATAAATCAAGGTAAAGTTTTCATTCTAAATGAAATGAATTATTCTTTTCTTTTCCTTTATGTTGTTTATCATTGCCATAATTTCATGGTTACTATACCTTCGTTCCAACATACAAGCCATGTTCACACTTAGTCAACTAGACATGAAACTCCTTTCCCTACCTTCACAAAAGCAAACAATTATTCCAATATCTTCCCAATATATCTAGGAATAAACATTGCACTTCACCAATCAAAGCCCTCCTCATTACTAGACCTAGCATGGGTTGAGTGAACACCTTGTTTGATCGATTCGACCAGAGAAAAAACCAAGCTTAAGCAAGTTTTAATAATAAGTTCCATGTTGACCCAAATTATCTAATCTGTTAGAATCCAACCGTTCATGGTGCAAAGGATCTGACGGCCACAGAGTGAAATCCGTGGGAAGCTCTCATGAATCACATTGAAACACCTTTCATAGATGGGCAGCTGATTTAGGAAGAGTTATATTTCATTATTATGTAGTTATATGTTTCCTTATTAAATATCTTGTATATATCTATATATAGGGATGAACTTATGCAATAAAGTAAGGCTTTTCTTCTCAAATTCCTAGTTTTAACATGGTATCAGAGCCAACGGCCTTTATTGCCATGGAAAGGCCGTGGAAGAAAGATCCTAGATCGCCGAAGGAGGACAAGAGGAAGAAGAAGCCACCGGAAGACAGAGCTGGAAGCCGAAGGAGAAAAAGAAAGAGGAAGGGATCGGAAGAGAAGCCAAACCATGCGAAGCCTGTTGCGACTGCCTCATCCACTGTCGACATGAAGAAGTCGAACGGAAGTCGAAGCCGAAGGACAACACAAGGCTCTCACCGCGTCTAGTCCGCTTCCGATCCGAGCCGAACAACCTGCACCCTAGCTGCACTAACGCCGAAGCCGCCGCCAACCGAACACCCGCCGCCCGTGCGTGGCTCCCGCTTGCAGCTGGAGAGGCGGAACCGTGCGCGTTTGCGATCGAAGAGGCACAATGTGCGTGCCCTAGGTACCCAACCCGAGTCCTTTAAAGACTCGGCTTGGCCCGGTTCAATTAACAGGGAAAATTTTGTTTTATTTTTCCAAAAAAAATCGAAATCGACCTTTATTGTCGAATAGAAAAATCTTGGAAGTCTTCATTGCTACCAAAAGACATACAAATAGTCTCAATTACTATCATAATGTCATAAATCAATTCCTCACAGAGCATTGACCAAACTGAGGAGTCGATGGTATACCAAGGACGACGTAGCCTCCAAAGCATGCAACCTTCCTATCGTCTAAATAGGAATAAACTACCTAAAGTGGTCTCAATTTGTGAAGACTTACTTGAAAGGGAAAGGGAAAGTACACCAACTCCTTGGAGGAGGACCAAAAGGAGATCCTAAATTTAGAGTGTGGGATGAAACAGACTCCATGATTATGTCATGGTTGTGGAACTCCATGACTCTAAAAATTAGCGATACATTTATGTTCCTTTACACTGCAAAAGACATATGGGATGCTGCTAGACAGGCCTTCTCCAAAGCTCGAGATGTAGCTCAAATCTTTAAAATTAAAGTCAAAGTTAGAAGCACAAAGTAGGAGAGTAAGACCGTGACGGAGTATGCCACCCTTCTATAAAATATGTGGCAAGAACTTGATCACTATAGATGCGTAGAAACCAGATGTTCGGAAAATGCTGCGATCCTAAAGAACTTTATTGAAAAAGATAGAGTTTATGATTTTATTGCAGGACTAAATATAGAATTTGACCAAGTTAGAGTCCAAATCCTTGGCAAAGAGGAGACGCCGTCACTCAATGAAACCATTTCTCTCATCCGCACGTAAGAAAGCCGACGAGGAGTGATGTTAGCACCAAAGGTTGTTGAAAGTTCAACAATGGTGATGAGCAAAGAAACATTGAAGGAGAAAGGTAAAGATTTCTCAAAATTCAAAGACAATTACTTACTTTGATGCAGTTATTGCAAGAAATCAAGACACACAAAGGAAATTTGCTGGAATATACATGGAAAACCCCCTAGTAAGAGTGGAATCAAAGAACTGAAACAAGTCAGCCCAACCCAGAAGCACAGTCCAGTCTTGGAGAATTCAATAAAGAAGATATTGATAAACTGAGATGACTCCTGATATCTCTTGAAAAACCAAATACATCCTCTCACTTGCAGTCACAGGACCAGAAATCGGGGAAGACAATTGGACGTGCTAAGGAGAGAGCTGGACTGTACCACCTTGAAGAACTGTACAAAGTTTCCACTATCATCCTTTATTGCTGATATAATCAAATCAGCCTTTATTGTTGATACAAGCAAATCAGCCTTTATTGCTGATCAAATCAGCCTTTATTGCTGATCAAATCAGCCTTTATTGCTGACATAATCAAATCAACCTTTATTGTTGTCAAATCAGCCTTTATTGCTACTATAACACAATGCAACCTTCATTACTGGAAACCTGAGGAACACAAAATTCCCACCACCGGCCTTCATTGTCGGAATTTTGAGGATAGGTTCCCATCATCGCCTTCATTGTCGGTTTTCTCTTGTGTTTGTTATCCTATCTATAACCAATGCAGCCTTCATTGCTACCCTGCTTGATATAGCCTTCATAGCTATCATTTGCAGTTGTCACAATATCTGAAGCTAATAGAGGGCTATATGGTGCACCAAGGAACTTGATAACTCTACTTTGTGTGATTAATTACCAAGCTGGGAATGAGATATATGTATTACCAGCTTGAGGGGGAGTGTTAGAATCCAACCGTTCATGGTGCAAAGGATCTAACGGTCACAGAGAGCAATCCGTGGGAAGCTCTCATGAATCACGTTGAAACACCTTCCATAGATGGGTAGCTGATTTAGGAAGACTTATATTTCAATATTATATAGTTATATGTTTCCTTATTAAATATCTTATATAGATCTATATATAGGGATGAATTTATGCAATAAAGTAAGGCTTTTCTTCTCAAATTCCTAGTTTTAACATAATCAAATTGCAATTTTAGTCAAATTTGGGTAAGAATATCCCCATATGACACAACCCTAACAAATATCATTATTGGACTACACCAGCTTATTCGACTTGAAAAATGCTTAGACTTGGCCTGAACTTCCAACCCGATTACCGGGTTGAATCAAGTTTGGGCAATGCTCCAAATTGATCCCATCCATTATGAGCTAAACCAGCCCGCCTAGTCCAATACCCCTCTCTACCCATCACTAATCACAATTTAATCCTAGCTCACCGCTACACAACAACAAACCCTTCAACTTGTCAACATCCACCTCAAACATCTCTTTATATTTCTCTTCTTCTCAATTTACCTGCTAGTTATCAAGCTGTGTACGAAAAAGAAAAATAAAACAAGTGAAGAAAGAAAACTCTACTATTTTAAGCCAATTTAATATCAAAGTATTATCAAGCCTCCTTCATAGATTAATTTGATATCAAATCGGGACTCAATCACATGGAAAAATTGCAAACGAGTCACCTGAAAAAAATCAGATTTCTTATTTCACTCTTCCTGATCTCTAACACTCCAAATCTTCCTTAAAGAAGCCTACCATTCCCTAAAATCCTCTAAAAAATAATTCTTGCTTTGACTAATAATAATAATATTATTATTATTAATAATTTAAAACTCAACCATGCTTCCTTAATCATCCCCACGACATAAGAATTTTGACCATGTGACCTAACAAAATTGATTGAAATTTATTGAAACCTCATTCAAATCTTGAATCCAAAAAGGACCTACACAACTGAACTCAATCCTAACTTAAACTAAGGACAACTTGAATCGTCTAGCCAAATTGGGTAGACAAACTGAACCAATTCACTAGACCAGTCAAACTCAAATCAGTTCAATTGAATTCATTCAGATCTAATTTACTCAAACTGGCCTACTATCCACTTTGGACTAACTGGCCGAAAAGAAGAGAGCATCTTCTTCCTTTCTTCTGGCATCCTATAAAACTCACGACAAAATTTAATAGAGTTAGGTTTCTTCCTTGCAGCAACATTAGTTAAACATTGTATATACATTGCAATTTAAAGTATTTGAAACCAACATAAAAGTTTAGATTGACTTTTTTTTTAATGACAAAACTAGTTTCATGCATAAAAATTATGCTAAAATATTTCTGCTAAAATACATAACCTTATCAAATGCGTTTTCTTGCTTTGACTTGCTATAAACTGAGGAGTTGCAAATACTACAAATTTCATGTCATGAACTTAACTTAGTTGATCTTACTATTTATCTTAACACTAGCATAACCTAAGTCAATAGCTAAATATGCCTTTAAATTGTATTTACAGCTTTACATTTCGTTCAATTAATGTGTATAGATTACATTTCCTGCTAGCTGCAGCTTTACTTGTTAGCATATCTGCATATTATTACTTGATACATACCATCATGACTATAGGATGGGTTAGAAATAATTAAATACAAGGCAGAGAACATTGACCAAAGGCTTAATAAAGTCATTAAGCTTGAAATATTTGCTTAGATCATGCACTGCACAGTCTGCACGGTAAGAATACTTGTATAGATTAGTCAGTGTTAAGTTTAAGCCTACTACTATTTCCTACAGGAATCAAAGCCATAGAAAGTACCATAATCTCCTTTATAATGACAATTTTGTAGCTATCAGCCCTCAAAAACACAACAAGATTTCTTAAGCATATCAAATCCATTCTATGTTGATGATGATGATGATAATACTATTGATTCTCACTCTCTTGTCAAAAAACAATATAAGAACAAATATTTCTTAAGGTCAATATCATTCAATAGCTAAATCTTAAACCATCCCACTTATGATAGATCTTTTAGAAACCCCAGCATTAATCTTACTAAAGATATTGAGGACAATAATCCCCTTCCTATAATGATAAAGAAGAATATTCTCAGTTATAAGATGAACCTACGAATCTGAAACTTGATCGTGCACTTGTGCTTGCACCAATTCTCTACTTTCAATTTACATACGAAACTAATTTAGAACGAGGCCAAATCCAAATTCAAGTTCGGTTGGTTTCTAATAAAGTTGTTTGTTTAGTTGAGTCTTTCAATAGACTTTTACGTGAATATTTGTTATGATTCATCTCCCTATTGGTCATCAAAACATTGATTTTCTCTTTTGATATATGTCATGAATCTAGCAAATTACAATAAAAATTGTTTGAGTTTTGCCAAATAAAAACCATTTATCAAGGAAGTCTTTAATAATATCATCCTTTATCAAGAATAAATATAATGTGATTTAAAGCCAAAATATCGGAACCTTATTGTCTAATAATTACTCCCAAATCAGCTATTCTATTTAAAAGTAGTTGCCAATTTTAAGTCCTGCTTGGATTTTGCATCCTTTGAAGCTTTTTCTTTTTTCCTTTGAAGCTATCTATCCCTTAAAATGACTTTTAGGTCCTCCTTCATTAAACTTGTATTCATCATATTTGATTCTTCTTCATTTTCTATTATTCATTTTCCCGAGTTATTTGTTGACTATATGAAAAAAATACCATACACACTGCAGATTCAAAAGTTATCAACTATATTAATTCTTATATTTGTTGATATGGAATCAGACTATACTATAGTCATATCTAGCATATATGTGCTTGTACTCCACCAAAATAATATTTTTTACAAGAGACTCTATGTCATACTATTACTTAATAAAGCTAGAATTTATTGTGTTTCTAATTGCTTTTTCTTTTAAAATTAATGTCACTCCTTATTATGCTGAGGATTTGTTACCTAATCAGGCCACTTTCAGGAAGTTTTTGCATGTTCTTGGGGTGTATCAGTGCTATATCTGCAGTTATTTTAGGTGATGCATGCAAAGTTTTTGCATGTTCTTGCAGTGTATTAGAGCCTTGTCACTACATTTTCTAGATGGGATCAATGATGGTCCTTCTCAACATTACAACCCCAAGCTTGTTAAATGTCCTATCCATTCTTAATGATATTTAGTTGAAGCATAGATGTTGCCTCCTCCTGATTTTTCTAATTGTATTACCACTTCCATTCTTCGGAGTAAACTGATATGTAGCTAGAGGGTTGATGATAGACAAGTAATCTATACTTGTAATTCAAAACTATAAGTTTTTTCCATGCTTGTCATCAGTATATAGACCTCAATTGGTCGATTGTTTGATATGTTGGGAACTGAGTACTCACGTATTTTAGTATTTGTCTGGTACTTTTTAGTCCTTGTACTAAAGAGTTAATCAAATAAATGTTATGCCGGTCCAGCTTGGACCGGCTCTACCTGGACCGGCCCAGCCGATCCAGTTCTATAGGCGACGGACGCAGAGGAGCCGCGCGGAAGAGAGAGGGAGCCAGGGAGTGGGGTCCACTTGCAATTCAAACATGGGTTAAGTGTTTTTGGAGGGAGAAGGAAGGGTAGAGTAGTCCTTTTGCTTTTAATTTGAATTAGATTGTATTAATAGGGAGTTATGAGGGGATTAGGTTTTCACCTTGATTTTGAATGAGTTTTGTCTTCTAGGTTTTCTTGCTTGGGCTCTTGGCGTTGCCGGAGATTGTTGGAGAGTTGTTCTTCCTCTCGAATTGAAGAACATTGTATCTTGCTTTGGTTTTGTTTGTCTACTAGTGGAATACAATTGTTACTATTGTTTTCCCAACGTTTTCTCCCTAGTTTCTCAGATTTTCCATTGTTTGGTGGCTGTTTTCTATTGAAAACAGCGGAATAATTGTGTTTTGGCGAAGATCCGATAGGAATCACTTGGAATATTCAAGTGGTCTCTATCAATAACTTTCATCTTCTGGCTACATTACATGCTTATGGACCTTCTTGTTGTTCAAGTTTCATTTATTCAATGCCTATGGACCTTCTTCTTTCCAGCATAAACCTCCATAATCAACTCAAAGTGCACCTTTTCAGCCTCACCTTCACAAATAGCAAATAGCTCCTCCATCTCTTCTTAATATCTCCAAAAATAAACTCTGCATTACATGCCAGCATAACCCACTTCGTAGTTACCTAATCCCAAAACAATCCATTTATTTCAATACTATACAGCCACAAACCCATCCATCCCATGGGCCCCCATCTCTAACTTCTCTTAAATTACTAGTTATGCCCAAGATAGACCATACGTTTCTCTCGTCTCACCAGCAAATATGAAGCTTGCTGCAAATAAAAATCAAGTAATCAAGACTATGTTAATTACAACATCAGTCGGGTAGCAAAGAAATCATAGAGAGCTACATTGGGTGTGGAATAATTGAAAAGCTAAAACTAGTATGTGCTAGACCAAGGGTACTGGAAAATTATTATAACAAGGAAATTGGGGAATTGAAACGATTGATAATAAGTTAGCAAAATTAATGTGGTTGTTTGGGCATGTACGGGTTGAGGAGGGCATCCAAATTAAAAAAAGATGCGTATTATTGTAAAATAATTAGAAAAGAAAAATAGACAGACAAATGTAACACAAGTAAAAGCTAATACAAAAATACATGCATAAAATAGAGTTAGAATAATTTAGCACACAACAAATTTGAGTAAATCATAATGCAGCCCACTTTGAAACCTCTCCTGCTACTTTTAGCTCTTCCTGGGATTCACGCTTTCAGATGACCTCGTTAGAACAGGCCACACAATGTGAAGATTGGTTGTGCTTAGATTGTGATAGTTAGAATCCCATACATGGCTATGTATATTCTTAAATTAACTACTTGTGTTCTCTGATGTGGAGTTTTCTTATCCTCTACTTTCATATTCTCCTTTGAGGCGGGTAATGATCTCATTTGGAAGTATACTTTGTAAAAAATGTTTTCTTTTCCAAATAAAAAAGAGGGTCGGTTTCAGTGGGATCCTATTCAATAGAAAATATTAAAAAAAATATAAACGCCTAGAGCAAAATACAAAATATCCTTTATGATTTAGGACAAAAATTCTAGCATCTGCCAATCAAATGATTCAAACTAATTACTAAATGTTAAAAAGAGGGCATGAAAAAGATATGCAATTATTAGATCTACAAACTAAGCAAGAAAACATTAAAAAAAAAAAAGATTATATTTGTTGAGTATTACCCGAATTGTTCATCATAAGCATTGGATGACGAGATCGCCTTCTGAAAGATCTGTCATAAATAAGATAGAAAACTCAACACCAAAATGATTAAACGGATAATGAAGGCATGTAAATGTTCATGCAAATACAAACACCCATGTGACACATGCACAGTTTGACATTCTAGAAGCTCTGATATCTAAGAAAAGCATAAACATATAGCATATGACTAATTAAATTACCGTTGGATTGCTGGTGACACCCCTAACCCCACTAGCTATGAGCGGCAAAAGATCTGTAACAGGACGGCAGAGATTATCATACCACGGTGATTGTCCTTGGCTTTCATATAGGTCGTGGAGGGTTGTTCGCTTTGTCGTGGATCCATTTCCATCTTGAGAACACTTCACACTGCTTTACGCAAGAACAAGTTATCCATCGGAAGAAAAAACTTAACTAATCTCGGAGTGACAACAATGCAATACCCAAATTAAAGGGAAGAAGAAGCAAAGTAAAACACAATCAACAAAAGCAAATAGTACGACCTCAATCTGCATATAACATGCAACTCTGACTAGTGGAATACTTTCTAGCAAAGAATGGAGATATACATAGCCCTTACTTTTGTAATAACATAATTTTTGTTGAGCTTTAAAGGTAAATTTTATAGAACATAAATTAGCTTAGCTGCAAAAAATGAAAATGTTAGAGAAAGATTAAGAATGCTAAGATGGATATATGGCATATCTTGGTAATATAGATTGAGAAATAATTACATCAAACAGATGGTGGAATCGGCACTGAGAGAAAATAAGTCAATGAAAAATAGACTTGATAGTTTGAGCATATACAACTAAGGGTACAAAATATAAAAATAAGGCAAGTTGACAATATTTCTGTCGAAGGTTTATAAAATAAAATGGTTTAGCCAAAATTAATTTGGATTGAAGTCAAGCAAAAAGATTCGTGCACAATAGTTTTAAACCTCCTGTAGCACTCAACAAGAATAAATAGAGGATTTATAAAGCCAACCCAAATATCCAACAAAGAACTATTGATGACGATCATGCTGATGATGAATTACTTTTTCATTCACATTTCCAATTTATAGAAGTAAAGAAATTTCCAAACATTTTTTCAATAACAAAGTTATCACTAAAGGAATCTTCCAGCTTCAAGGTATTGCATTATTTGGGTATCAAGATCCATAATTAGCTTAAGGGTCCTTTACATTAGCCATGAAATGGTACTAACATGCTCCAAATATTAGCATAAGGAGACAAATACTGAAATTTGTCATCTTCATGTCAATACAGAGTCGTCAGGCCCATTACTATAACGGTATGAAAAGCAACAATCACAGTAACTTGTTCCCTCAAAAAGTACACAAAACTAACTTCCTCGATCACATATTGTTTGTCCTTCAAACCTTTCAAACCTACCTGACATGTATAGTTGCTTCTAACTTCGCTTCGCGAGGAAGTCCAGTTCCTCACCATTAATAAAAAAATTTACCTTTTTACAATCCTTAATTATGCATCAGCATCCTTACAACTGCCCAATAGCGGGAAATGGCTCGGGGAAAAAAAAGGTAATTTTACCATGCATTGGTCAAGAAACATTGAAGAGAAAAAAAAATCCGGAAGATAACAGCAAGAGAAACTCACATCAAGGAGAATCCCCCGGCGCGATTTCCGCTTACAGAAAGGCTCAAAGAAGAAGAGCGCCGCCCGATCGGAGCCCGCAATCGGAAGCCAACAGAAAGCTTGGGCTCTGACGATCGGGATGCCGTCGAGGAAAGCGAAGCTGCGCCCGCAAAACTAGAGCAGGTGAGCTTAGATACCGAAGCCATAGATCCCAAAGAGAGAAGAGAGAGAATTTAGGGCTTTGGGAGAGAAGAGAAGGACATTAGGTAGGAAGAGAGATCTGTTTATAGACCCCCCGCCACTATTGGTCGTTGGGAGGGTTGGTAAGAGTCGGGCCGCCCGTAACCTCAGTCTTGATGTTGATTGAGGATTTATTTCTACATTTCCCAAAAAAAAAAAGGATTTATTTCTACAATTCGCAGTAATATATATATAATTTATATATTAAGATATTATTTAGTAGATATAATTTTTTTTATAAAATCTAGGACCAAGGTGGAGATTGTTAGATATTTGTTCATAGATTTAGGTTTGCTTTTGTGTAGGTGTCTTGTTTGGCATGTATGACCAATAGTGTTGCTCTTTGTATGGCTTTTTGTGCCTATATATAGGATGTCTTTAAGCTTGTAATAGGCAGCCAATGGAATAAAGAAGTTTGAAGCATTTTTGGCTCACGGTTCTCTCCTTCTCTCTTCTCCCCCCTCCTCTCTCCCTCTCTAGATCTTGCAACAAGAAGATCTCTCAACAAGATCTTCCTCCCTAGTTTCTACATTTGGTATCAGAGCCCTGGTGGCGATCAAGGAAGGAGGAAGTGTTCTGTCAGAGAGAGGAGGTGGTGGCTGCCGGTGCCGCGATCGGAGGCGACTTCAGCTCGGAGAAGGAAAGCCGGAGGATCTTGGTCCGGTGTGCGGGGTTTTCACGTGAAATCGGGTGCTGGGTTGCCGCAGACGGATCTTGGACGGGTTATTGTCTTATTGACCGGTGCGGACGGGTTAAAACGGAAGCAGAAGTTCGTTATTGATTGCAAGAATCAGGAGCGAGACTTCTTGAGCATCTGCATGCATATGGCATCAGCATCGGGTTGGATTTGACAGCTTGTTTTTAGACCAGCGATGGAGGCGGACGAACAGGTCACTTGGGGGGATTTCCGGCTTAGCATGCAGCCGTGAGGAGCAAATCCAACCGACATTTAATTTCCATGGGAAAGGAAATTTAATTTATGGAAATTAAATGTCCATATTCATTATGCTGTCGCGGATTGGAGAAACAGTTCTTGTGGGCTGGTCGGATCGCTGCAAGAAATTATTGTGTGCTTGTTAAAGGTTCAGGAGGTCATTTGGCTTGCGAATGATAAGCTGACCGTCTGCATGAGTTTTGGGACGTCCGGTGTCGGGATCAGAGGGAAGCTGGTTTTGGCATGCGGGTTTGTAGGTGAGAAAGAATCGAAAATCTGGAACAGGCGGATCTCACGGAGACCAGATTTTTTGCTTGATCTTGAATCAATTTTCGATCGGTCTTGACTAGCTTGGATGCAATTTTCTGTTCTTTGATTAAAAGATCGGTTCAGATCTTTAAAGAAGAGATTAAATCTTCTTTGTGGTGGAATTTTGGACTTCAGGTGGAGTCTGGGAGACACTGAGGTAGTGTCGACTGTTCTTGGAGAGCAGGGATGAAAGTGTGGTGCGCTTGGAGATGCGAGGTTGTGCGGTGCACGAGGAGGCCTCAAAGGAGCGCGGGGCACTGGTGACGAGCGGAGCGCTGGTGAAGGTGCAGGGCTCGCTGCACGGGTGGATACGTGCAGGATGTGGTCGGTGACAGACCACATGAGTGCAAGGCGCGGGGCTGATAGCGTTGGACTCTGGCTGGAGGTGCAGGGCGCGGGCAGTGAGGCGCAGGGACCTAGTGGATGCACAGGGTGCGGAAGCCGGGCTAGGGGTGCTCGGGATTGGCTGCGTTGGATGCAGTGCTACAGAAGATCTGTCGGGAGGTGGAGCTAGAATGTCGGTGGATGCTTTTGGCGGAGGAGACTGACAGGATCATTCTTTGACTGTTCTTTAAAGAACAATGTTTATCTTTTTTTTTTTATAAAATCTAGGACCAAGGTGGAGATTGTTAGATATTTGTTCATAGATTTAGGTTTGCTTTTGTGTAGGTGTCTTGTTTGGCATGTATGGCCAATAGTGTTGCTCTTTGTATAGCTTTTGTGCCTATATATAGGAGGTCTTTAGGCTTGTAATAGGCAGCCAAGGGAATAAAGAAGTTTGAAGCATTTTTGGCTCACGGTTCTCTCCCTCTCTAGATCTTGCAACAAGAAGATCTCTCAACAAGATCTTCCTCCCTAGTTTCTACATTTGGTATCAGAGCCCTGGTGGCGATCAAGGAAGGAGGAAGTGTTCTGTCAGAGAGAGGAGGTGGTGGCTGCCGGTGCCGCGATCGGAGGCGACTTTAGCTCGGAGAAAGAAAGCCGGAGGATCTTGGTTCGGTGTGCGGGGTTTTCACGTGAAATCGGGTGCTGGGTTGCCGCAGACGGATCTTGGACGGGTTATTGTCTTATTGACCGGTGCGGACGGGTTAAAATGGAAGCAGAAGTTCGTTATTGATTGCAAGAATCAGGAGCGAGACTTCTTGAGCATCTGCATGCATATGGCATCAGCATCGGGTTGGATTTGACAGCTTGTTTTTAGACCAGCGATGGAGGCGGACGAACAGGTCACTTGGGGGGATTTCCGGCTTAGCATGCAGCCGTGAGGAGCAAATCCAACCGACATTTAATTTCCATGGGAAAGGAAATTTAATTTATGGAAATTAAATGTCCATATTCATTATGCTGTCGCGGATTGGAGAAGCAGTTCTTGTGGGCTGGTCGGATCGCTGCAAGAAATTATTGTGTGCTTGTTAAAGGTTCAGGAGGTCATTTGGCTTGCGAATGATAAGCTGACCGTCTGCATGAGTTTTGGGACGTCCGGTGTCGGGATCAGAGGGAAGCTGGTTTTGGCATGCGGGTTTGTAGGTGAGAAAGAATCGAAAATCTGGAACAGGCGGATCTCACGGAGACCAGATTTTTTGCTTGATCTTGAATCAATTTTCGATCGGTCTTGACTAGCTTGGATGCAATTTTCTGTTCTTTGATTAAAAGATCGGTTCAGATCTTTAAAGAAGAGATTAAATCTTCTTTGTGGTGGAATTTTGGACTTCAGGTGGAGTCTGGGAGACACTGAGGTAGTGTCGACTGTTCTTGGAGAGCAGGGATGAAAGTGTGGGGCGCTTGGAGATGCGAGGTTGTGCGGTGCACGAGGAGGCCTCAAAGGAGCGCGGGGCACTGGTGACGAGCGGAGCGCTGGTGAAGGTGCAGGGCTCGCTGCACGGGTGGATACGTGCAGGATGTGGTCGGTGACAGACCACATGAGTGCAAGGCGCGGGGCTGATAGCGTTGGACTCTGGCTGGAGGTGCAGGGCGCGGGCAGTGAGGCGCAGGGACCTAGTGGATGCACAGGGTGCGGAAGCCGGGCTAGGGGTGCTCGGGATTGGCTGCGTTGGATGCAGTGCTACAGAAGATCTGTCGGGAGGTGGAGCTAGAATGTCGGTGTATGTTTTTGGCGGAGGAGACTAACAGGATCATTCTTTGACTGTTCTTTAAAGAACAATGTTTATCTTTTTTTTTATAAAATCTAGGACCAAGGTGGAGATTGTTAGATATTTGTTCATAGATTTAGGTTTGCTTTTGTGTAGGTGTCTTGTTTGGCATGTATGGCCAATAGTGTTGCTCTTTGTATAGCTTTTGTGCCTATATATAGGAGGTCTTTAGGCTTGTAATAGGCAGCCAAGGGAATAAAGTATATTATAAATATCTTAAATATCCTGAGTCACAAAGTTAAAAGCTTTTTAAATCTATTTTTTTCTCTAACTCAGCAATAGATAATAGTTTGAGAAATAGAAAGAGGAAAGACAAGAGGGAGGAAAGAGAACTTTGGTTTCAGAGGTCGCGCTGCGATTTTTATCAGTCAAGCATGTTGGAAATTTAAACATCTTGCTTTAAGAAATCGTTACCCTATTTCAGTTTTCAATAATTTTGTATTTTTGATAATTTTCTTTATCAAATTTGTGTTTATGTTATAAAAAAATGTGAATAAGTTTGTATTTGTAAAATTTTCATCGCATGACATCTTTATGTGATATATCTCGTTAATATGAATATTTTTTATTGTAATATATTTAAATTTCACAAATTAAATTGAAAAATATAATTTTTTGGAGTTAATGGATAGTATACAAATTTGATAGATTTTTCAGTATTTATGTATTTTCGCATTTCGTACATGTTGTTGACTTATATTTCATAGAAAAATAATATATCATTTGCATGTATACAAGGAAGGCTAACATTTAACACTATAATAAATACAAGTTAACTCTTAAAATATAATATCTTGTGCAAGAAGGTGGGCTGACGCACTTTTCTTTAAATACATGGTTGGTGGTATAATCTTAATTGTATAATGAAATTGATTGATCGAATTACATTAACGAATAGAAGGTTATAACTCTTAAATGGTTATTGAAAGCTGCCTATGAAAATTGACAAATTCAGAGCTTTGACATATAACATATATACATAAGAAAATACCACATAAATAATGAATATCATACCTTACTTCTCATTATTATACTCATGATGATATTTTCCTGATTGATAATACATTAAACTAATTGAAAGATTGATAGCTCATATTAAATTAATATTGATACAACATAGCATATCATATTGATATGATTAATTAGACGATATACTACTCATCACCGTATGTCTAATAGTTTGATAGATATCTTTTGATTCTATTGATCATATTGATTTTATTATTGATTTTTAAAAATTTTATTGTTAATATTAAATAATGATTGATATTGATTATAAATGAATATAAATATTAATTCTTTTGTCTTGCATTGAAATCAGTGATAGAGTTTAAGTTTTTTTTAAGATTTTGTAGCTCATTATATGTGGTTTAAATCATTTCAGGTTAGGGAAGATGTCAGAACCAGTTAAAATGAGATTGTCAGAGATCATCAGATTTTTTTTATATCTTCATTTATTATTTTTTTTTGTCAGGAGTTTGTCATAGATTAATAGTTGTACTAATCTTCTGACTATTGTATATTCATTTTAGGAGAATAATTATAGTAAAATATTTTGAGGCATGTAATTATCAATTATTTTTACTGGATATATAGATTTATTATTTAGAAGTTCTAGTTAATTAATTAGATTAATTGAAAATATAAAATAAATCGTAATTCTTTCAAATTTAATACTCGAGTGTTACAAATTTTGAATGAACTCATGATTGATTGCATGCTTTATTTTGGAGTTGAACATATTTCAATTGATTTATTGGTTTTGAATCGCATTGATTTATGTTAACAAATTTATGAATTAAATTTATCTTTATTGATCTAATACATCTACTATCCTAACTAGATCATTAGAAGGCCACCATTCTATATGACCAAACCATCTAAGATGACTCTCTAATCTTATCTTCCTCTTGAGCTACTCCAATACGTTCACATATATGCTTATTTAATATTATGCCTCTAAGTAAATTCACTCATCCACCTTAGCATCCTCATCTCCATAGCACTTAATATTATGTTTCCCTTTTAATGGTCAACATTCTACACCTGCATAAAGCATTGCAGGTCTTACCACCATCGTATAAAAATTTCCCTTAAGTTTGAGGGAGACTTTTCTATCACACAATAAGCTCGATGCATTCCTCCATTTCAACCATCCAACTTGAAATCTCCTAATAATATCCTCATCTATTTCACTATCACTAAAAAAATAGACCTAAGATATCTAAAGTGTGTACTCTTTATTAATGACTTGATCGCCAAAACTCACAATCCCCCCACTAGATCTATTACTACTAAAATTATACTCCATATATTCGATTTTAGATCCACTCTAACTAAAACTTTTAGACTCTAAAATTGACCTTCATAATTTAAGTTTACCTTCAACTTCCTCTCTAGTATCATCAACACGAAGAATATAATAAGCAAAAAGCATATACCGGGGTAAAACCTGTTGCAAATGTCTAGTGAGAACATCCATGACTAAAGATTATTTTTAATTATAAATTGACCCACACATAAACTTCTTTTTTATAATATTATGAATTATTATTCGAAAAATGTATTACATTTCATTCTAATCCATTTTAAATAACAATAAGATCCGTGTACTAATTAAACTTTCTTATCCCAATAAATAATTGATATTATAGCAGGTCTATAACAGTATGATTAAGGATCAATATAGTCGAAGAAGTATGGCTATATGATAAAGAGAGGGACTCAACAGAGTAACTTGGCCTTCTTTTAGAAAGATTTGGGAGATCAATGCTTTATTTAGGACATTTCTCTTATTGTTTTCTAAAATAGCATTTTAGTACAAAAATTTCTTAAAAGTAACGAAAAAATAGTGAACAAAGGTTATCTCAAAAGAAGCTTAAATGATAAGAGGGGTAGTGCTACCCAGTTACATTTATATCTTGCAATAATGCTTTTAAGATAACTTTTAAAGAAAACAACTTCTACCTATCTCATTAATAACTAGCAAACTTTATCATTTCTTAGCACTTGATAGACAACAACAAGTACTACTACTACTACATCAAGCCCTTATCCTACTGTGGGGTTGGCTATATGAATCTTTTTTTTTTCCATTGTGTCATGCTAAAAATTAAATTCTCATTTAAATCTAATAAAGAAATGTCATTTCTTATATTTTTTGACCAATTTTTTAAGATCTATCTCTATCTTTCTTAACATAAGTCAAATCTAATACATCAACTTTCCTAATCAGGTCATCGAAAGGCCTCCGTTTTAAAATCCTCTTATTAAAAAGACCTCTAATTAAGATCCTATTATGATACACCTATCATCAAGGAAGGCGAATGCCCATGACTGTTCTTATTCTGTAATAAAAGCACCTAGGAAGCTCATTATTATTGCTTATTAGATAGATAGAGAGAGAGAGAGAGGCAATTACAATTAGAAAATAAGCATACAACACTGGAGAAGGGCTTGCACGTCTATATTATTGATTTATATTTGTGCGCAAAAATCAACACTACGACATTTATTGCCCGTTGTGAAACCTTAAAGAAATTTATATGTTTACCCTTTTACCCTCTTAATATATTGGGATGTTCTTATATTTGCTTGGTAGATTTACCAATTTTAAATTATATAGAAAAAACTATATCTTTTTTTTTGAATTAAAATAAAGATAACATGTCAAAAAAATATTAAAGAATATTTTGATTTTTTCTAAAAAATTAAAAAAAAAAAAGCTTTACAATCATGTATGTTAGTATTTTTGTGTGAACCACTAATCTTGCAATATCTATTATTTTATCTCTTGTTTTCTTACTTAAAATGAAATAATAAAATAAAATTCTATATTTTTAATATACTCAACAAATAATTTAAATATATTTACAATAAATTATTTTTATTTTATATTTCATTCTTTTTAATATTCATTTCCATATTAAGGAAAACAAAAATGAAGCAACGAATGTCATATCTGTGTAAAACAAAACAAATCGAGCTAATAATTATGCAACATGTACTATGAACAGCAGAGATTTTGGAATCTCCTGTCCTCCAAGAAATGGCCTTCACTGAAATCTTCTCTGCTTTCAAGAAATGATGGTTGGTGGAAGCGAGGAGATGGAGAGTAAGGTGGCTCTGTTGAGGAATCTTGTGGAGCGGAAGGATTCGAATGCTAAGGTACTCGCTATTTTGTTTGTCCAAAGTAGTTCGATTTGAATTTTGTGGAGAAATTAGCTCTCAAGATTGTTGATCTTCCAATTTGGTTTTTTTTTTTTCTCTTGCTCTGCTTTGATTCAAGATGATTCTTTTGTCTTTCCATTTGGTTGTTTCAGGGTTTTGCTTGATGTGAGGCCTGGGTGTTTGTTCTTGTTGCCTTTTTACTTTGTTTTTCCTTTCCTTTTTTGGTTTATGGAGAAAATGGTGGTTCTCTTTATCAGTTTTATTGTTCTTTTTTTAACGGCATTACTTCTAAGCTTTACCCTCAAGCTTGTTTGTTTGAAAGCTGGTTGTTCCTTGTTTTCTTTCTCTTTCTTTAAAGCGGATCTGGGTGTCTTTGCTGCCTCCACTTGTTTAGCTACTAGGAAGATGGAATGATAAGGAGAGAAACTAATGGATTGATATTGGAGTTCAGCTTATTATGGGGCTGTTTGGTATTCTATTTTGGGCATAATTTAAGCTTAAATGATACCAAATATGATTTTGCGCATTATAAAATCTATTATTTTATTAAATCCCATTTCTGATTTGTGATTGGTTAAATTCAGGATCTGTTAAATCCATTGTTCATGGTATTTAAAGGATTTTAGCAAGATTTAACAGTTCTCATGGCAAATAATAATCAAGTTTTAATCTTCTCGAGGTTTACTAAATTTGAATTTGTATTCTCATTCCGTTAGATTTAAAAAAGTCTTATATAATTATATATATAATATAAAAATTCTACCATTAAATTATTCTGCATTATATACGTATTATAAAAACTTTATTCCTTAAATTTATGTGAATCTTTTCGTTTTCTTCACTTAAAATACTGATTAATGATAAACTTTGCTTTCTGTCAGTGAGGATGATGTGTTCTTCTTTTTTGGTCATTCTCAGTCGGTTCTTTATTCTTAGTATTCCATGGCTGAATCTCTTGGAAGGTTCCCTTTTGGTTTTCAAATCAATCAACATACCTTTTTACTCTGCTTTTGGTCGAATCTTTGTGGGAGTGACTGTTTTTTTTTTCCACATTTCATGCGTTTAGCAAATAGTATTAATACAAATTTCTTAGCTTATTTTGGCTTATTAGGTATATCAAATTTGATTGTGTAGCTTTTAGCTTTGCCTTTGTTTATTGTGTTTAATATAGGCTTATTGAGGCTTTGTTTGGGATGGCTTTTTTTATTGCTTCTTAAAGTAACTTAATTTTTGTACTAGGAAGCTGCGTTACGAAGCAGAAAGAAAGCCGTCCCAAACTAAGCCTAAGTCTCATGATTTCCCCCTCCATCCATATTGCTTAGTACTGATTCTTTCTTAATATCTTATCCATGGTATGCACGACTATGCTAGGCTCGGTTACAGCCCTACTATACGGCTAGTTAGCTATTTTCCTGACGATATCAACAAGTTGTTCTTCATGTGTCCTCATTAACTATACTTGAAATTATAATCCATCAAGATCGATCATTCTTAACTTGACCTGATCTAGACATGTTTGGGTGTATGCCATCAATTTATCAATATTTCTAGCTCCTCTAATCTTATTTTTGAAACAACATGACTAAGGACAAGTAGTGCAAGAGAAGTATATATATGTGATAATGAGGGTTAAGGGATACCAGCTCAAAATCTCAAATGAGGTGGTTTTTGCTACCTCTATTTAGTGCTTACAGCCATGCATTTGAGATAATTTTGAAAGCAACCAATTGCAGCTACCCTTGCCATAGAGTCAGCAAACTCTGCTGATCTATCTCTTGAAGAGGAATGTTTATATTGTTAAAGAATCAACTTTATCATGTTTTAGAAAATGAAGAATCAATAGTGAATACATATATATCATTCATGTTTGATTGATTAAAAGGATTTTATCATAGAAAGTTAATCTTGTGACATCAATTTGGATTAAGGATATGTGACTTAGAATTTATCTTAGTAAGGACAAAGATAGAATGCTTAGGTGGATGAGTGACTTTACACTTAGAGATTGAATGAGAAACTAGTATGTAGATGAAAAGTTGTAGTATATCCAATGAGAAATAAGAATAAAGAGTTGTTTTAGATAGTTTGGTCAGATAAAATGTCAGCTTTTCAATGACTCGGTTAGGAAAGTAGATATATAGAGATAGACCTAAAAAGATTTGATTAGAAAGTATTAGAAATGACATTTTTTGTTAGATTTAAATGAAAATTTAACTCTTAATACGACACCAGAGAGAAAAATGATTCATGTAGCCGATCCCACGTAGTGAGATAAAGGCTTGATATTGTTGTTGTAGAATTAGCCTATAATAATTAATTTATTTGGATGTAAACTTAGGCTGTAGAAACATTCAGTTATCTCTCTCGCATTATCAGTACCAGTGGTCTCTATGGTTCATCAAACGAACCTGGTTATCAAGAATCAATTAACGTATATTCCATGATCTGATCATTTTGTTCCTGTATATTCTCAATAGTTTTAAACTTTTTAATTTTTATTATTATTTATAAAAAATATTGATATCTTTGAGAATAAATATATTATGCCTGCATAAAAATTAATAATTACTAATTATTAGTGGGCACAAACTTGTATTGATAGCAGGAAAGTAAAACTCTTCAAATCAGCACAGCTCCATTAATTTTTCCTGCATAACTTTTGCTTTCTCTGATATGTATAAATTATGTCCATTTACATTCAAATCATAATAAATGCTACTTTATATGGCACAAAGTTGCTCAAAAAAGAAATTTTTTTAGGCAGGGGGGCCGTCAATTTATTTTGAAAAGTTGCTTTTAAAAATTAGCTTTCAAGATGCTTCAATAAATAACTTTTTGACAGTAGCTTCTCAAACTGCTTTATGATAAGCATGAAACCCAACCAAGTAAATCCTAAAACTATACTCATCCATTAATAAATTGGATCAAAGTTCTATGATTTTTAAGACTATAATCTTCCATTATTATATATGCATAATATTTTGACGAAAATAATACAAAAAATAAATAAATTATAATTTAGTGGTTATTATATAATGTTAAGTATTGATTTTTTATGATGAGTCATTGAATTTAATTCTTTTTTATTTTCTTTTAACAATTTGAGCTATGATTAGTCAAGTCTATTTATTAGTTTGATTTGACAAATGATCAGTGAGTCAATCTCACTAAGTTAATGAGCTAAGTGTGAGTCAGCAAAGCAGCGACTTATCTACTTGTGAGTTATCATAGGAAAAAAATTAATATAAAATATGCAAAAATATATCAAAATGGAAATATTTAAGCATAAAGTTATTAAAACAATTTAAAAACTATGCATCTTATTTATCTTAATTTTTTTCTTATTATTTCTCTTCTAACATCTCATTGTTTTTATCATTTTATTATGATGGCTGTCATCTTTTCCTTTTCATAATAAATAAGGGGCGTATATAAATTTGTATAATTAAGTAGAAATATTTACTTCAACTTTAGAGGGATAAAACCTCCATAATATCTATAAAACTATTTGAGTTTCTTCTCAAATACGATCTTAGCCTTCCATTTTGATTATTTAAAAAGAATTCTAGCCTTTGATTAATGAATTTCAATTGCAAATTTTAATTAATTATTTAGATTAATAATGTGACTATTCACATGACTATTAATTAATGAACTTGTGTTAATTAAATGACTATTCTACTATGCAAATAACTATTAATGAATTTGTATTAATTATGTAATCATTCAAGATGACTATTCAAATGGTTATTTAGATTAATATATATAATCATTCAAGTGCTAGCTAGGAGATTTCTGGGGTGGGTGCCTCTTCTAGGTCAGCTGAGAATTAGTTATGCCGCCAACGCCCTTTCGAGGGTGGCAGTGGGTGGAAACCCCATTCAATAATAATAATAATAATAATAATAATAATAATAATAATAATAATAATAATATATAAAAAGGAGCAAAATAGTAGTTCTAATTATGCCATTGAACTTCCCGTATTCCATTGAGCAATGGCATAGGCTCTTATCAACTTGCTAGTGATATGTTCAAATGAAACATTTTCCATTTCATATTAATTTTGATCGTCTGATGAAGAGCTCCAAAATTTTAACCTTTATGATCCCTATGAAATGAGAAAAGGACAATGTGGTGATACTTGTAGATTTTAAACATTAGATTAGATCAACATGCGTAACAATCTTGCCATCAAATGCATTGGCTATAGTGATATGAAAGCTGGCTACGAGATGTGTATCAGCAGCAATTTTATACTTTTCATTTGATGTTATAAGCTTGTTATGGACATCTGAAATTATCTGAGTGAATTGATCTGAGAGTTGGATTGTTGCCATGTTGCGACACCTTGGCTGGACTACAACATCAAGTTGTGATTAGGTGTTTTAGTATAAACTATGCTGAATGGGCAGCGACCTGTGGACCAATTGGACATGAAATTATATGCAAAATTTACTTGACCCAACACTTCGTCCCAACCTTTTGGATGCTCTTGAACTAAGCATCTTAATATATTACCAAGCATTCTATTCACCACCTTCATGTTTGCCCATCGGATTGGGGATGATAAGCGGAGCTTTAGTTAATTTATGTGTGCAACCGTCTACACAATTTTCTCTAGAAGTGACTAATGAACTTAATGTTTGGATCCAACATGAGGCTTCGAGGAATACCGTAGAGTCTTACAATCTCATTAAAAAAAGGCGAGCAATATTATTAGCATCGAAGGTCTTCTTACAAGCAAGAAGATGTGTCATTTTTGAAAATCGATCGGCAAGCACTATAATCAAATCATTCCCATGTTTGGTGCGAGGTAAACCCAAAATGAAGTCTAAACTGAGATCTTCCCAAATAGTGTCAGGACTAGGTAATGGAAGATAAAGTCCTGGGTTTTGATTGCCTCCTTTATATGTTTGGAAAATCGAGCATTTTTCAATAAAAGCGTGAAGCATCACAACGTAAATGTGGCTAGTAAAAATGTAGTTGCAGCTAAG